CATGAAAAAAATAATAATTTTATATTTAATAATATTTAGAAACTACATCATACTATTTTAATTCATAACTTTTTGGAAAAATAAATTCACTATGATTTGTAAAACCTTGTATTGATTACATTAGTCAAAACCAGAATTGTCTCAAACTTAATTTCAACTCTACTTAATTTGACAACTCTTGCGGAAATTCAAGTAATATTGTTCTTACTTTATAACCCTTTTGATCAAACAAATTATATGTGTATGAAAGTGCTCTCACAATCTCTCATAATCTTTTTTTAAACAAATATGTCTCAATCTTTCCTTCAACTGTCTTGCCACCTAATACCATAACTGTTGTTGAGAAGAGTTTTTATCTATTCCTTATGAACATATGAACAACAACAATATATATATTGAAAGAAAAAGAAAAGTCTTCCCTTCAAAAGAAACCCTATACTCTAATCACAGTGGAATAATATTCCTATTTTCTTAATTTAGTATGTATTATTTTATTTTTACAACGACATAATTTTGCTTAGTTTCCTCTGTCTCCAATGGCCATTCCTTTATTTTCTATCTTGTGAACTATGTCTCATTCTTCAAAGACTAATTTGTGGAACATATGACCAGTGGTACTTGTCTTTATGCAATCTTTGTAGAAATGCCATAGTTCTTATTGAAGGTGAACTGGATATAGTCCAGTTGCTTGGGTAGCCAAGCCAGAAAACTAGACCCAAGGTAAACCCTCGATAAAAGCTAAGCCAGTAGGAATCCTTGACCAGGTATTTGAGGTAAAGTCTGAGAGGCTATGCAATTTGCTGAGCAGAACTGAGCTGGAAGGCTATTTATACCAGGGAAAGAATTTATGCCACCATAAAATCATATGGCGCGATGTTAAATTACAATGGAGCAGCAATTATAAGCAAGTTAATGAAGCCAGTGTGCACAATAACTCACATACTGATTTTCACAAGAACTGTCAATCTGACTCATGTCTTCTTTTTGTATCTTATATATTACTACATACAAAGAAAATTTGTTTTAATTACTTTGAATTTACAATAATGGCTAAGTGAAAATCACAAATTATCACTCATTCCACTTTTTTTTTTCTCTTTCTAGGTGAGTTGAATATTTCAGTTTTTGCTTAATCTGAATTATATGGATTGAAATGAAGATAAGGATATATGTCTAAATGTTTTCTTTTCCTTGATATAAAAAGGTCTTGAGAAGATGATAGTTCAAATATTTTCTGAAGCTTTTCTGAGTAGCTATAGGCTAATTTAATTGTTAATGCCTTGTCAGATACTAATGCAAATTATCTAACAAAATATGTGTTTTAATGTTCAATTTACTAAATCAATGCCTGAGACAGGTGCAATGGTATTATAATGCATACATTTTTATCTAACCTACATTCTAAAGTCTATATATTCTCTCCATAGTATCAATGAGGTTATATTTATGCCCATGATGCAGCTAGAAACTGCAGGAGTTAGGAGTCTGCCACAAATCTATCTCATTTCAGAGCCATGCTTCTAAATACTATACTAATCCAACTCCTAGCACAAATGTTTGCTTGTTGTCTCCCTTATAGCTCCTCAAATTTAGAAATCAATATTGTATATAACTTTTTAAATGCCAGTATAATGTCCACGGATCAGATAAGCCTCAATAAATGTATATTGAAATAAAAATTACCAACATTATGTAGATTATGGTCCTAGATTATTGATGCGATTGACTATTTCTTAAATTGGTTTTGATACCAAACATAAAAAAGACCCACATATGGACACATGGTTATACAAACATCAGATGTTCAAATTATGGGGATTAGTTTCTGTATTATTAGTAGTATAGAGATAAAAATGTATTTTTATGCTTTGATATTAAACTCAGAGTAGTATTTCTAGAAAGTACGAAAATTGTAATTAAAGAATTCAGTGAAAGACATTTATAAGCCTAATGGTAGCATTGTCAATATTTCTCTGAGACTATAAAAGAAAATTAGTAGCACAATAGTTAAATAATATAGTCAAATTTAAAAATGAAAGAAATTTTAATGATTTCATGTATAATTTCCACAAGTGGCAGTGAGTGCTAATTGGACTATGCAATTAGAAACACTGATAGAATTTATAAGTGCATAATTATGTTACTAAGGCCATGAGTGAATTAGTAAAAATTCATTTACCATAGAGGGGAAATAAATAAAGTGTCTTGATCTGCTAAAATATTAATTATCACATATGGGCTGCATATTTATAGTTTTTCTTTTAAGCAACATAAGTTATCCTCGTTTCTATCAATAGATTAAACAAAGGTTGAAACATTCAACCCACTAACAAATAGGAAAAGGCAGAGAGGGATTTGTGGTTTTATTTAATTAACTATTTTAAAATGAAAGTAATTAAAGCAACTTTACCTTTGACTATGTGCCAGAGATTACTGTTTACTGTGAAAATGTTAAGATCAGCCTTTATTTTCCTATTTCTCTTTTGATAAAATTTAGCAAGAGTGTATAATTACTAGGTTAGTGATAAGCAGACCCGTCAAATGTAACGGGCATGTCTTTTAGCCTTAGAATTGAATTTACAGTGACAAAAGCATTCTCTACTCTGAACAGACAGTCAAAATACTAATATTAAAAAGGTGGAATCAAAATATTCTCATTGTTTAAACTACTCAACAAAATTTCTCTAAGTAAAAAAATTAGAATTGAAAAACAAAAACAAAAACCCTTAATAATTATCCTACAAGTACACCAGGACAGGAATACAAAAATCTTGTATCTATGACACAGTATTTGTTAGAGCACAAACTGTGGAAACAATTTGATTGTCTATCAGTAATGACTGGTGGAATAAAATAGAGGAGAGCCATTGCAATATAGTACAAACTTGATGCAACTGTTAAAGGATGAGTCACCTCTTTCCATATGACACAGAATGTTGTGCAAAACACTCAAGTAAAGAGATTGAGGTGTAGGGCAGTGTGTAGAGTAGCACAAAATAAAATGCCTTGTGAAATATTCCCACAGGCACACATTTTCCATTAAAATAAATCATTTAAAAGTTAAACAATGCAAAATATTTTAAGCAGCCATTATGTAAAAGTTCTTGATTTCTTTAATGATCCTCTTTTAGGTATGTATTGTCTGACTTTCTCTTCTGCCTTCTAGCCAATAAAGCATCTACAGTTTTGATAACTTTTTCCAACTTCATAAATGTGCAGATTTCTTTTTCTTGGGAATCTCATTTCTAAGTTCCCAGGGGGTAGGAAAAAAGTATCCTCCTTGGTAGATTTTTCACTCTCCCACCCCATTCTGAGATGGGAAATAGGAAGGGATAGAATAATGGACTGAGATGTATAGAGGTGGACAGTCTGTGTCCACAGTGGGTTCCTCCGAAAGGAAGGGATCCAATAACCAGGGCCCTTTAAACATTTGCTCCTTTCCCCTCTAAAACAGAAGGCCCTTCTTTCTTCTTTTTGATGAAAGGGTTTCCTGTTTCCTTTCCTCTATTGTGTTTTATTGAAGAAGGCAGTCCTTAGAACTGGCCTTCCTGGCACTTCAGAAAACAAGCACATATAGAAAAAGAAAGTTTCTCCTGGGCCAGGAAGCAGAGACTTCAGACAGAAGGAATATAGCAGCAGACACCCTGCCAGTTCCCTCTCACTAAAGAGCCAATCCCAGCTTGTGTACTATGGACTGAGCTCCTTTAAAACCAACCACTTCCGGGAACACAAAAACAACAAACATTCTAGGACAGCTGCACTATTTAAGGAAACTTTTTTTGGATAATTGATCAGTTGCTACCATCCTTTGAATGCCTTGAACCCAGCATTTTGTGGTTTTGATGCAGACTTTCAGAAATACTCCATAATAACTATTAATTGGGAGGTTCGTCTTCCCTTTCCCCTGTATAAATATCAATTTTGGCAAGGAAAAAATGCAGATTTTATGGCATGGGTTATCTTTAAACAATACATCCTTCTCCTCATTCCAATTGATAGATTGTTTTTTAAGCCCAAAGTGAAATATTCAATTCACCTAGCAAGGGAATGGAATATCAGAAGATTTGTGATTGTTATTTAATAATTATTTTTTAATTCAAGTAATTAGAACAATTCTTCCTTGCATGTAGGAGTATTTAAGATACTTCACATTAATTTATTCAGCACAAAATTGGCATATATCTGCAGGCTATCTTTCCATATACACATGCTCTTCCTGCCAACCACCATGTACTTTGGTATATTTTGTGAACAATTTTTTCTTTGTCCCAAAAGTATTGTCCATTTAAGGAAAATACTACTAATTTGTTGGGAATTGTTTTTGAAAGTACTAATGTAACATTCAACCTCAATCAACCGTATTCATCTGAGCTTATCAGTAGAGAACACATTTCTTTAAAGATACTAATATTGTCTTAACATGTAGACAATATACTTTCTTTGATCTTCTTTAAACACATCACATTTCTCTTCTTTAAGTGCATACACACACACACACACACACACACACACACTTTCTCTTTCCCTCTTTCTCTCTCCTCTAAGATCATAGTCCCCAAATTTATCTATGCTTGTAATATTTCATATTAAATGTTAAATTTTATTTCAAGGACTATCACAGCCTAGAAAGAAATTTAATCTATGCATTGAGACAGTACATTTCAGAGAATAAACTAGCATTTTCATATTTAAAAAGTTCCTTGAAGTTTAGACTCTAGAATTAAAAGGGAAAAGGGTGTGCATTTAGGAGCTATAAACTGAAGTTATTTATTTCATTTCAATATAGATTATTTATCAGAGTCAAGATAACAATGAATGTGTACAAAAATTTACATAACAAGAGAAACAACAGACAATGCAATGCAGCACCTTTAGAAAAATAATTAAATGTTTTCTTGCATTTACAGGAAGTGCCACACTGAGAATTTACAATACAGTAATTTACTGCAAACACAGGGGAGTTCCATAAAGAAACAAAGCTCTTACACTCCAGATTTTCAGAAGGTATTATCGGAATGCTTAACTATAACCACAAAATTTGTTCATCCTTAGGATTGAGCTGACAAAAGTCATAAAAGATTTTCATAGCATATATTATATAAAAGGAGTCCACTGTGTTGGGACAGCTGGTTTAGTGTCTCTGACAGGTGTGAAGCCTAGAAGAATTACTGGCTTGATGGTGATCTTTCTGTATCCGGCAAGACAGACCTTCTCCACAGTAACAGCGCTGGAATATCTCCAGCCCATGGGAGCCTTTTCTCCTGTGCTTGGTGCATACTTGACCTTCTTTGAGGACAGGTTTACAGATCTTGGACCAGAAGTGTCTAGCACAACACAAACCTGTGGCACAGTCTGATGATCGGAGACAGACAGAACCTTCTTGTCCTAGGAAGGAGGAGACAGTAGAAAAAATAGTTAAGCTTGCTTAAGCTAAGCTTGCATCATTTCACTAAGACAATTCAAAAGACACTTCTGATGTGCTAACAAAGAATGAACATTAAAGTCCTTCAGTGTACCTTTGGTGTGATATATTTTTGAAGACAGGGTGGTTCTTCTGGAGTACCCATCCAAGGTGCTGTGATCATTACCAAAGCTTTCAATGATCGTTTCCTCAATATCCCCTCTATGGAAATGACTATGATCAGAAGGCATACATATTCCTGAGAAAGCGAGAAATAATAATTAATTCCTAGGTTGAAATGGGTTGTTGCTAACAGTTGTGATGGGCCAGCCTATTATACCTGCAGCATCTAGAGGTATCTCATTGTAGTCAACTTATTTTAAATACAAACCAAATTTTCCACCCAGGGTCAGTGCAAACTCTTCAGATGGACAAAGTATCAATGATATACTGTTTAGTTATTTGCAACATCTCCAGTATAGTCACTTAAAAAGTGCTTTCCCACTAACTGTGGTAGTGCAGTGACATTTCTGTCCAATTTTTAATGCACCCTTCTGATACATTACATAAAAATTTTTTCTTAAAAATAACTTTTCTGCTCTTCATGCTATATGGGTACTGCCAGACTGTTAAACAAATGCACATCCAGCTGTCTGGAAGATTACAATCTCACCCACCAGTTACTTTACTGTATAATTTCTATATTACAGAGATTGAATTAGTTCATCCTAGAATACTGCTGGGTCCCAAAGAGGTTAGCCACCCTGTAAGTTTATTTCTGGAGACCTCTTTGGCTGTCTTCAGTCTACCTCTTTTTGAGACATTAAATTTTCTTGGATCCGTGGTTGTGGGGAGGGGAAGTAGTTTTAGGGAAGAGAGGAGGAAGGTTGAAAAGGCCTGGATGCTGGAGTACCAAGATATCCCTTAAAAATGGCCAGTGCAGATAAATCACTCTGTCCTTTGCCTGACAACAGTTTAAACTTCCAGGGGCCATGAGGAAGAAAGGACAGTTTGGACAAGCCATGAAAATGGAAAGAGCAAGGAAATGCCAGCTGTTTTCTTTGGTTTCTCTTTCAAAAGGATCCCACAGACCTTCCCAGGTCCCATCTTCCTCCCTGCCCCCTCCCCTGCCCCAAATTAACCTCAAGGCTACCCTCGATAAGGTTTTATGGAAGGGGCCACTCTGAAGTAAACAGTAGTGTCAAATCATTCAGGGACATAGGAGAACAAGGATCATTTAGACCCCCATACTTTCTTCTTCTCCCAGATTAAACACTCATAATGAAGATATTTCAGGGGAACTTTGCATACTGAACACCCATTTGGGGGAGGCGGTGCTGCAAAGTTCCAGAGCAGAGTGTATTTTCTTTTATCTGTAGATGCTGGAATGCAGGACTGTTGGAGTTGTAGAACTCACCATTTTTGCAGTAGTTCCCTGGGCAGCACATTGCGTGACGCATGCAGCGTTTTCTGCGCTTCCGGCAGGCGAGACAGATTTGCACGCTGGCGCCCCCTCCGCGGGTGGGACTTGCACAGTACTCGTCGGTGCTGCACTCCTCGTCCTCGGCGCACGGGTAAGGCTATGAGAAGGGAGCGGAGAGAAGGTGAGGAGCCCCGGCATTCGAGTACCCACACTTCTGAACCCGGACACTCATCTCAGTCCCTATCTGTACACTCTCCAAAAGCTGTTGCCACCCTCCGCTCCCAAATACAGCATTTCCAAAGATGCCCTGAATCTCAGTCACCCAGAAGGCTCCGCACCCTCCTCTCCAAATGGGAACGCTTCAGGGTCACAGCGTCCTTGGATCCCTGCGACCCCTCTCACCTGGTAGTTGTCAAGGGTCTGGTACTTGTTCCCGCCCTCGTACAGAATTCCTGGTGCAGCGCTGACTGCAGAGCCTGTGTGCCCGGCAGCGCCGCCCAGTGGTGGGGGCAGGTTCTTAATAGCGTTGGAATTGACCAGAACCGAGTTCAAGGTGGCGCTCACACCCTGCAGAGAGTGGCTGCAAAGAACTGCTGCTATCAGGGCGACCAAGAACCGAGCAGCTCCTACAGTGCCCAAAGCCGTCATCTCAGAAGTACTCAAGCGGGAGAAAGAGAAAGGAGAGATGTCACTTTGCAAGCCTGATCCCAAGGAAACCTTGCTGGTGCGGCTGGCTACAGAGTTAAGGTTCCCAGAGCCTCCAACGATCTCAGAGTCCTGACTGCTGGGCGCAGGGAGCTCTGCGCCGCCACCGCCACGGTGGCTGCCTTTATACAGCGAGCTCTGAGCATTCCGGCCCCTTGGGGAAGACAACAAAGCCGGGATGGGATTTCAAAGCGTTGGGAGGGGCTGGGAGGGGGTGTGTTTGTGTACATGGGGGGGGGGGGGGGAATTTTGACACTCTTCACCCCTCCTCTCCCTTGCACGGTTGTTCTATTGGCCCAGCTCACCTTCGTGGAGACAGATCAGTGAGCATTAGAGCAGAGGACGTTAATAAACGCAGAGGGCGGGAGGGATTCTGGGCACACGGTGCGTTTCTTTGCAGCAGGGACTGGATTACTTGTATATGAAATACTTTCCAGAGCCAAATAGTGGTAGACTCTGCAAAACCACTTTCTACCCTTTTCCCTTAAGCCAATACTCCTTTCTTGTGCAAACAAATAATATTTCGTATTAAATACAACCTCGTCCAGTAATTCAAAGGCTCTAGGGGTTGGGGACATCTTTGCGAGAGGACCAGGTGGCCCTTGCAAGTTGCTGATTAATCCTTCAGTGTTTTGATTTGCAGATTTGGGTGAGGTCCTGGTCTTTCACTTCGTCCAGTTGCTTCTCTTCACCCCGCCCTCTCCCCTCCACTGAGAGAAAAATGTGCAAAGAGAAGTAAATTTGCACATCAAACGAGGATAAGAAGGAAGAAGACCTAATTCTCTTTTGATGGGAAGTTTAGAGTGGAAGGCGAGAGACTAGCGTTTGGAAATTAGATCAAGGGTGGAGAAAAGAGGGAAATGACCATCCGATAATCAAACTATTTAATGTGGTTCTTTGAATCTGGTCAGTCGCGGCAGTAGATGAACTTGATTAGGCAGACACGCGAGATCAAAGTGGCCCGGAGCCAAAGAGGACAGGGTCCCTTGTGCGTGCGGGGGTCAGTCGTCCTTCTCTGGTGCCCCCTTCTCAGTGGTGGGTTAATGGAGGGAGATAAGAAACCCTAAAGGCTTAGCGCCTGACTTCCTCATTAGTATTTCATATTGCAATGCTTGAGAACGCTTTTGTTTGATCCTGAGTCAAACCTTTCGCAGATGGAGGAATACGGCCTCCAGGGAGATAATTGACTACTTTGTGGAAAGGAGAACAGAAAGTGAACTAGACAGTGAATTCGACATCATTTAAATCAGTGTATAAAAATAACAAAGTAACGCTGGTGTCTAAGAATATTGTTGGGCTTATAAATTAGCAATCTCATCTAGCTAGTCAACAAAAACCTATTGGAAGCCCAGTGCCCAGGCATCAGATGCCCTAACCATCCAGTTTATTGACTTTTTCCCTTTTTCTGTTTTGTTTTTTAGTTGGGTAGGGAGAAGGGGTGCAGTGAATACGAATATTTGAGACAGATTTCTCATTCTAGGGAATAAAGTTCAAGTTATCTTTATCCTAAAAATAACAATTTTGGAAGATATAGAGATGATATGATTATAGTAACCACAAAACACAAGAAATGTACATAATTATTTTTAAAGTAGGTTGATGTTAGAGGTGTGAGAAAAAAGAAAACTCTGTGAGTTGGGGAAAGGAGGAGATGATTGTAAACCACTGTTGAATACAGAAGACTGGAATATATTTATTATTGCTCCCCTAACCTGTAGGCTGTCTGTTAATTCCTCCACCTGCTGACCTACAGTGGTCATGACTGAGGGCCACAAGGCACAAACAGCCAGTCTTAAAGAGATACAATCCTCAAGTTGAGGGGTATTTAAAAAGCAGTTGGTGGTGGTCTGTGCTCTGGTTCCTTGGGTTTGAGAATCCTATTAATAATGTTTTCTACACCATTCTTTCATGGTGCTTCTAATTACAGATGGTGTCCTCACCCCAAATTCCACCCATCTTGGGAACTTTCCTATGGCTTATTGATATCTCCAGTTTAAATCTGACATGGATTAAATCCTACATATTTCCTTAGGTTTTATTATGAACATGTATAATCATGTAGGCATGGCTAGTTCTCTAGAAATTTTTAGAACAAATTGAGAATTTAGAAGCAAAGGGGAAGTTTTTTTTCATTGCCTTTTTAATTATAAGGATCAAGTCCAATCGGTGGACTTGAAGTTTACATAAGCACAGAGGTATTATAGGGAAAAAGGGCTAAGAAACAAGAGATTTTCATACCACACTATCACTTGCACAATATTAATAACAATGTCAATAACCAGTGTGTTGATCACCTTTGATATACTAGAAAATCCACAAGCTGTCTTAAATTTGTGTCATGTTGAAATGTGGGGAAAGAATCCCTGCCTACCTCAAGAAAGAAAATGTGTTTTCCTGGTCCTGTTAGCCTACTTAACTATTTCTAGAAATATACTTATGCCACACTAAAGGCCAATCCCTTGTTCTCTTTTCGTAAGATATAATAGATGATTGGTACATTTAATATTAATGAATTTAGTCACTAAAAGCTTGCATTCACAAATGGAACCAGTAGGATGGTTTCTCCCCATTTTTCATTTTCCTTTTGAAGTTCTCATGAGTTTAAATTTAATAATGAATAGATCAATATTAGATATCCTACTAAGAACTGTACTTGGTGCATTTGATAAAAGATGATACTCATTATCTACCTTCAAATTATTTATTGGAAGCAGGTAAAGAAAACTAACATACAATACAAGGAAGAAATTATGTAGGTCGCTCTCAGAGAAGGCCAAGTTCATAGCAAGACAATCTTTTATTCCAAATGGAGAAATTTATTTTTGAGTAGAGTCACCACTTAACAATCTGTCCATAATTTAAATTGTCGTTTTCTCACAGGCATCAAGAGTAAACAGCAAGTAAAGAGGTGAAGTGTAGTTCATCGCTCCTTCAGTACCAGTTAACATTCAGTGGTGCCCATTGTTGGGAGTATAGCTCAGAAACTATTAAAGGCAGTCTCCTTGTCCTGCAAAGTCTTTCAGTCTCTGAATGGTTGAAGACACACAATGTATTTACATGGATATGATGATATATATATATATATATATATTTCAAAACAGTTTGTATTTTGGTCATAGGAAAGAAAGAAAAAGGACCAGGAACTGTGACTGACACATTTCAGGAAGAGGAAGTTCTAATGATTCTCTGAGTCTCTCCTACAGCTGGGTGACAAAGGTGGCAGGAATCCCAGCAGGTGTATTTATTCTTTTAAACTCTATTATTTTGTCCTATAGGAAATCTTGCCTCTTATTTAATCTGGCTTAAATAGGACCAGAGTCAACACAATAAATTTAATACTTCATATTAGATTTTAAAACAAGAGAAATATGTTTACCAATAGTAGTAACTCAGAAATGATATAATATGACATGCCTTCCTTGGTATTTTAAATGCTGAATACCATGCATAGAATATTCATGAACCTCTTCATGAAGTAGACAAAAAGATACACTCTAAAAAGCACTATGCTATTTGCAAACTATTTTTCCATCTTTATTATTTCAGATTCTTTTGTGACTGCTGCCTTTTAAATTTCCTACTTCCCTCTCTCCCTCCTTCCTTTCCTCCTTTCTTTCCCTCTTTCCCTTTGTTAAATTAGATGAAGTAGATTTGTTGCCATTCAATTTTTCTTTACTAGAAAACAGTGAGTAAATGGTTGCAGTTGCTAACATTTTTGTTAGTAGCAATCTTGACTTTATTGCAGGGATTCCTCATTCCTGGTGTTTAATAAAAAGTGTTATGGCTTTCTCATTGGCCTTTAAAGGATTTTTGGTCTTAAATGCTCTTCATGATGTTAAAAGACCTTTCAGACCAGGCCCATGTTATGATTCCCTAGAGAGGTTGGATTTTCTCTAGACTGCAGTACAAAGAGAAGGCAAGATTTGACAATGATTACGTTGATGGACAGCCCAGATAAATCAAGTTTCATAGTAGCTTTCTAAACTTGCTAAGAAAATACTGGAGCAGGTCATTAAAAACTAATCTGAGCCTAAAGCCCAGAACTCAGAAAAAATTGAGCAAAAACCAGTGAGGATGGTCCCTAAACCAGACACTTCCTGCATCTTTTCTCATGATCTGACACTCAGAAAAGTCTGTGGTGTAGATAGTGGAGCAGCTCCCTTAATAGATGTTAATCCTAAGGATTTAATATTTCCAACCATGAAGATAAACCAGTGTCAGCAGAAAGTAGGATGCTTATGAGACAGCCTCCACATCTAGAAAAAATTGTTTTCCTCCATGTCATTAGGTCCCTGTTATTATCTTCTTTATAATGTAGGCATTCTCTAAGGATCATGACCAAAAAGGGCTTCATGCCATGGTGTCAGGAGGTTGGGGCAATTCCCCTCTGCCAGCTGCCAGCCAGTGCATATGCTTAATAAAGTCATTTAACTCTTAATGCTGGTATTGGTTTTTCATTCATAAAATGGGATGCAGGGGAGTGGGGAGAGGTCCCTTCTGACTACCAAATCTTCTCTCCAAGTGTTGTCACAGATCTTTTGTATTCTGGTTAAGAATGGCTTGCAAGGGTGTCTGTTCTTTTAGGCAGCCTAAGCATAAAGTAAAAATCATTGACATCAATCAGTACTGTGAACATGTTGACTTTAAAGAGAATGGCAGGTAAAGTTTAAGTCCCTGGAAATAAGGTGAATTACTTGAACCAGGTGTGTGTGTGTGTGTGTGTGTGTGTGTGTCTATGTCTATGAAGAGCCTGTTCTTTAATCACAAAACTGGTTGTAATGTCATGTTTTGGAACCAACTTTTCCAACTACTGTTCAGTTTTAAACTTAGTGAATCGCATTGGAATCTTGAGGTGAATAATAGCAGGACCTTGAGACGCCAAAGAGGACTAAGATGTGGCTGAGATACAGAACTATTGACTTTTAGGGGCGGGGTGGTGGTGGTGGTGGGGGGGGGGGGGCGACATATAATTACTGCAAGGATTCTTTATCACCACCCCTGAGTTACACAAAAGTATTTCTTTTCAGAGGAGTCCACGAGTTGATGTAAGCAGGAAAGTGGGGGAACTACCTGTGCGGCAGACCCCGAAGC